TATTGTTAAATCCAACTTAAGTTGATTTCTAAAGTATGTGAAAACCACTCATTGACGCTTCAGCCAAAACTCACGGAGCAATATGTGATGTGTGTTTAATACAGTGATTCTCAACCCAGGGCAAGCTGGCGTGCCTAGAGACGCTTTTCGCTGTCACAACTGGCGGGGTGGGCTATGTCATCTAGTGGGGGGAGGCCAGGGATGCTGCAAAACATCCTACAGTGCACAGGACGGCCCCCAGGACAGAGAAGTTTCCAGCCCCAAATGAGCATGATGCTGAGCCTGAAAAACACTGGTTTGGGACAAGGCACCTGAGTCTTAGAGATGGGCTGGCCAAGCCCAGCAGGGCACCTGGTGCCAGGGGGTGTGGGTCTGACAGCACAGGCACCGCTTGCTCTGACCTTGAGGAAGTCCTTGGCCCTCAGAAGCCTCAGTTTCTTCATCTAGAAAATGGGGACAGCACCACCTACCCTGCAGGACATTTGGGGCCAGAAGAAGGTGGTGCATGGCGAGATGCCTAGCAAATTTACAACTGTCTCAAACTATAGGCCATGTACCCCAAAATAATTTCTGGTAAAACCGAGGCCACAAAGCAAGTTTTAAAGCTTTTCACCTGTGTCAGACAGCTCTCTTGCGTGGTCTCATGAATTATTTGGATTAAAAGGCGGTGGTGCAGAGGTAGAGCCTGGACTGAACCACGGGACAGCTGCACTGTGATGCTGGCATTTGCCACAACCAGTGTTTGTCCCTTCCTGTGTAAAACAGAAAACATAAGACGTGTCCCATTGGCTCCCTAGGGATAGCCAGGGGATACAGCCCAGTGACACACATGGGGATGCTCTGAGGGGGTGTTGGGGGAACCTCCCAGCTTGGGGCTTAAGCATCCAGACCTCCTGGCCAAATGGCTGGGGCTCAAATCCCTTTTCCACCATTCCTAGCTGTGTGACCTTGGGCAAGTCTCTCAAGGTCTCTGTGCCTAGCCATGGTGCCTGATTCATAGGGCTGCCATGGGGACAGATCCTGGCTCAAGCTAAGCCCTAAATAAGTGTGTGCTTGATTATTATTACAGCCGAGGAGACAGAGGCTGGCTGAGGGAAAGCGACTGGCCCAGGTTTCTCACTGAACATCTGCGGTCACGGCGAGACAGGAAGCCAGGCCTCCGGATCTTGTTCCAGAGCCTTTTGCTCTGTGTCAAGTTAAGCACGCCAAGCTGGAAGTACTACTCCTTTAAGTACTCTTGACTTAAAGATTAAAAATAATCCTCAACAAACTAAGAATAGAAAGAAATTACCTCAACATAATAAAGGCCACACATGATAAGCCCACAGCTAACATCATACTCAACGGGGAAAAACTAAAAGCTTTTCCTCTAAGATCAGGAACAGGGGAAAGCTACTCCGTGTTCATGAACAGGAAGACTTCATACGGTTAGAAGGTCCGTACTATCCACAGCAATCTACGGATTCAAGGCCATCCCGACCAAAGTCCCAGTGGCCTATTTTACAGACATGGAAAACAAATCCTACAATTCATATGGAACCACAAAAGACAATGCATGGCCAAAATAATCTTGAGAAAGAACAAAACTGGAGGCATCACACTTCCTGATTTCAAAATATATCACAAAACTCCAGTAATTAAAACAGCATGGTACTCACATAAAGACAGACATCTAGACCAATGGAACAGAACAGAGAGCCCAGAAATAAACCCAGACATGTGTGGTCAACAGATCTCCAACAAGGGGGCCAAGAATACTCAGTGGGGAAGGGACTGTCTCTTTGACAAATGGCTGGGAAAACTGGATATCCACATACAAAATAATGAAACTGGACCCTTTTCTTCACTCAAAATGGATTAAAGACTTCAGCATAAGACCCGGAACTATAGGGCCCGGCCCAGTGGCGCAGTGGTTAAGTGCACATGTTCCGCTTCGGTGGCCCAGGGTTCGCTGGTTCGGATCCCAGGTGTGGACATGGCACCGCTTGGCAAGCCATGCTGTGGTAGGCGTCCCACATATAAAGTAGAGGAAGATGGGCACGGATGTTAGCTCAGGGCCAGTCTTCCTTAGCGAAAAGAGGAGGATTGGCAGTGGATGTTAGCTCAGGGTAATCTTCCTCAAAAAAATAAAAGACCTGGAACTATAAAACTCCTAGAAGAAAATATAGGGGGAGAGCTTCATGACGCTGGTCTTGGCAATGATTTTTTGGATATAGCACTAAAAGCAAAAATATACAAGTGGGACTACATCAAACTACAAAGCTTCTGCACAGCTAAGGAAATAACCAACAGAGAGCAGAGGCAACCTACAGAATGGAGAAAACATTTAGCAAACCACATATCTGATAAGGGGTTAATATACAAGGAACTCCTTCATCTCAATAGCAAACAACAACAAAACAAAATCTCCACATAACCCCATTAAAAAATGGGCAAAGGACCTGAATAGACATTTCTCCAGAGGAGACATACAAACAATCAACAGGTACATGAAAAGCTGCTCAGCATCACTCATCATCAGAGAAATGCAAATCAAAACCACCACATGACATCACCTCGCACCTGTTAGGATGGCTGTTATTAAAAAAACTTTAAAAAGGTAAGTGTTGGTGAGGATGTAGAGAAATGGGAACCCTTGCACACTGTTGGTGGGAATGCAAACTGGTGCAGCCACTAGGCAAAACAGTGTGGAGGGTCCTCAAGAAACGAAAAATAGAAATACCATATGACCCAGCAACTCCACTTTTGGGTATTTATCCAAAAGAGTTGAAAGCAGGATGTTGAACAGATATCCGCACTCCCACGTTCACTGCAGCACTATTCACAACAGCCGAGACGTGGAAGGAACCTAAGCATTCGTCGATGGATGAATGGATAAAGAAAATGTGATACATACATACCACGGAATATTATTCAGCCTTAAAAAGACAGAAATCCTGCAAGACGTGACAAACATGGATGAACCTGCAGGACAGTGTGCTAAGCAAAGTGAGCCAGTCACAGAAGGACAAACACTGCATGACTCCACTTAGGTGAGGAATCTAAAATGGTCCAACTCAGAGAAGCAGAGAGGAGAATGGTGGCTGCCGGGGGCTGGGAGAGGGGAAGAAATTGCTGCTAATCAACAGGCGTAAAGTTTCAGTTCAGTAAGATGATGGGCTCCTGAGCTCTGCTGTGCAGCGTCGTACCTATAGTCAACACTACTGCATTGTGCACTTAAACCTTTGTTAAAAGGGTGGCTCTCACACTAGATGTTCTCACAACAATAAAGCAAAGAGAGCGATAAAAAGCACTCGACACGAGGAGGCAGAACACTGAAGCTGCAGTCTCACCGTGGCTGGCTCTGGGGGCAGACGAGATGCTTTTTTTCCATCATAACACTTATGCATCCGGGCTTACGGACACGCCCTGGTGGAATTTATAAAGTTATACAGGGTATGCAGATGGGAAAATTATGTCTCAAAGGAGGAGCACATTCTGTTTAGAAATGTCATGGTTCTCAATCTAAATGCCTCACTAAATACAGGTTCCATATGTGGCTTCTACGACTCCAAGCGTGGGCTTGGAGAAGCGCATACTTCTCTCTCTGCTCTCTCAGAACAGGGAGGGCGGCTTCCAGATGGTCCAGCACGACCTGGCTCCTGTAAAGGGGGGGAAACAGCAGGACTTGCCCGAGGCCACGCTGTTGACCCAGGGGCCTCCTCACTCTTTTTTTGTTTTGTTTTTGAGGAAGATTAGCCCTGAGCTAACTGCTGCCAATCCTCCTCTTTTTGCTGAGAAAGACTGGCCCTGAGCTCACATCCGTGCCCATCTTCCTCTACTTTATACGTGGGACGCCTACCACAGCATGGCTTTCGTCAAGTGATGCCATGTCGGCACCTGGGATCCGAACCGGTGAACCCCGGGCTGCCGAGAAGCAGAATGTGCCAACTTAACCGCTGCACCACCGGGCTGGCCCTGCCTCCTGACTCTTTGGCCTTCAAACAGACCAAGGGACAGGCAAAACCAAGGAGCAAGATGAGCTCATTCCATCCCAAGGTCTCTGGAAACAGGACCAAAAGTTGTTGGAATGAGGCAGAACACCTGGTGTACCCTTCCGTGCTGTCATCCTTCTCTGTCGGATGGAAATGCTCCCTTTGACATCACCTCCCCCACACCCCCAGACCGCCCACCGAAGGTTCATGCTCGTTCAGCGTAAATAGACACAGGGGTTCAGTGTGTCTGGGACTCTTCAGAGGTCCCCTCTCCCTCCCTCTGGGCCCAGCTACACTTCTCCTGAGCTACGTAAGTGACCTCAGAAGGCGTTTGGACGCTTCAGTGTGAAAATGTCCTCTACGCACCCCTGCCAAGTGGCTGGCCAGCAGCTTGCACACCTTCATGAATGGGGAACTTACCACCCCTGGAGGCAACCCACTGTTTTCCAGAACCAACAATAACGATGATGATAACGATCCCAGGCCCGCCTCCCTGTTCCTCCAATCTCTGGATTCTCCCTTCTGGAGCCCTCGAGAGAGAACAGGAGCTGTACCCGTCTAGGGTTTGGGGGACCTCATGGGCGACCTACCCCGACTTCCCTGCCCACATCAGCTCAGGCCCCAAGAAACTTTTTCTTTAAAGCTTTAAGAATTTCTCAGGCCAAAGTCATGCGCTGAAGCCAGCCCAGCCAAGAGTACTTGTATTTAAATCATCTCACTTACAACTTCCTAATAGCCATTTTATGAAGAAATGTGACAGTTAGGTATTTCCGGGGGTAGGTAATTCTAACGACAGGCAGCATGGATTAAGGGATGTGCTGGCAGCTGCACTGAACACTGGCCTGGATTGTTCCTTTCAGTGTCATCCCACTGCACAGACGAGGAGATGAGGGCCAGACTGTGTGGGTGCCCAGTGGCACAGAGCCGGTGGGGGTGGCGGAGCAGGGATAGGGACCTGGGCATCCAGGCGCTGAACCCACCCCCCCAACGCCCCCGTCAGGTTCCTCCCCTGTGAGGGGCGCTCACCGCATTGAGACCGCAGAGCTGGTAGCAGGCCATGGTGATGACCACGGTGCCGACCTGCCAGCGGACGAAGGGACTCATGAGCAGCTCCAGCACGGACACCAGGCGGACATTCCTCTGCACGCGCCTCTCCGCCAGGACCTCCTCCAGCTCTCGGGAGACGTCCTCCTTGCCCAGGAATGTCCGGAAGGCTGCCAACGGAGACAAGCGTTGACTTTCAGCAGGGATCAGGATGTGTCTGAGGCTGGGCCCCGCAGGGACGGTCCCTCCACCCAGACACACACCTTGTCAGGGATGGAGCTGGCAGGGGCCTTTGAGACCAGGGAGTCCCAAGCCCTTGTTTAAAAATAGGAAAATAGGGGCCCAGAGAGATGCAATGACTTGCCCAAGGTCACCTAGTTGGCTAGGAGAAGAGTGAGGCGAGAGCCAGGGTCTCCAGCTTGCCCCACAGCAAAGCAGAGCATGCCCAGGGTTCAAATCCCACCTCTACCACCGGGCGTATGAACAGGCCCCCCACCCCCATATTAGTCTTCTGGAATCATTCCTGCCTCACGCGGCTGCTGTAGTCACTGGATCATATAATACACACTAAACCCTGGCTCCGAGCTTTGCACACAGGAGGTGCTCTTTCGATGAGTACTTCGTGAGCACCTCCTGTTTGCCTGGCCCTGTGCGCTCATCCTCGTCGGAAGTGTCCACTCAGCGGTCAGATCGCCACTCGGCCAGGATGCCCGGGAGCCAACTCTGTCATCGGAAGGAGCATTGAACTGAATGAGCCCCAGGGCCCTTTTCACGTGCCTCTCTGAAATACAGAAACCTCGCAGGAAATATTCCCAGAGCTCATCTTCCCAGGGCTCAAACTCACCCTGTGACTTACGCCTTTTCCGGGCCGAACACTGCAAATGTCCTGCCTCAGTGCACCTGCGCTTTTCACCAAGACCTTAACTGTGTAAACCTCCACGGACACAGGCGCGAAGTCCCACGGACTGATTGGACCCCTGAGATCATAATCGTCAGACGGCGGGAGACCCTTTAGAATGTGGATTAAGTTATGCAGCGCTCTGCTATTCATCCACCAACAGAGAAACATGGCTGCTGTGACGGGTCCTGTGGACAGTCCATTCCCGACACAGTGGGCGTCATCCCTAAAAACACCGCACCACAGGACGTGTGAAATTGCTCTTTTTAAGTAGCAAAAAAAAAAAAAAAAAGAAAAAAAGAAAAAGCCATTAAACTTGCTCCAGATTCTCCAAGAAGCAAGGCCACGAAGGCTCTGGGTGTTATTTCCTGTGGTATACTGAAAACTGCTTCAAATGTCTCTTTTGTAAGCTATGATTTAATACTTTTCCTAGCATTTGTTAAGGATAAATGGGAGAAGTAGCTGAACGAGTAACATTTCCACATCATGCACTAAATCAAAGCATTTCTAATACTTTCTCAAAATTCAAAATGCAACATTCATGTGACAAAGTAATCCTAGAGTTTTAGGGCAGGAAAACATTTCTCTCTCCTCCCTGACATACATGCCTTCCATATGAAATAAGGAGAACTTTATAACCTGCTTTTTTTAGTACCCTTTTTACCTTGGCTGCCAGGAAGCTCTCAGCCAAATTAAATGCTCAGCTCTCAAAAGAGTTTCCTAGAACAAAAATCTCTCTTCTTTCTCTTAAAAGTTGTGATCTCTTTCTTTTTTAAAAGCATCAATTTAATTTCCTGTTATATGTGTTCATAAAAATAGTTTGTCTCTACTTGCCCCACCCCCCTTCTTATAAGGTTCCTGTGACTGGATGAGGACGCGTACCTTGTGTGACTAGCATGGCAGACACAGAGATGCCCCACTCAGGTCCCCTTCAGGAAAGGACTCACTGCTTGGCTATGAGCAGTGTAGACAGCTGGCAGCCTCCAGCTCTTAGTTTCGTGGGCATCCACCTCAACTTGGAAGGCCAGGTGATGCTGTTCTCATAGTGGCTCCCAGCCCATGAGTGCACCCGGTGGTGGGACAGGGCCCAGGCGTCTCTGCCCAGTGGGTGCTCCTGTGATGCATGGGCACTGGGCCTGCAGACGCTTTGCCACATGGCGCTGAGGTCTGACGCTCCCCTGCCTGGTCCAGCTTCTGCACCCTTTCTCCCCGCGTGTTACTCCCCAGCAGAATTGCTGTCCCCGGACCCTTCTCAGCACCTGCTTCCTGGAGAAGCCGACCTGCAACAGCTAATCCCTTGACAGGGTGAAACAATCGATTGCCTTAGCTCCGTTTTCAGTTTTTGAAGCGCCAGGCTGCTTCCGGGCACGTTACCTTCCCCTGGGCGGTCGCAATAGCCCCAGCTGCTCTCCTGGGTCCCGTCTCCCCACGCCCTGCAGAGCACCTGCACACACATGTTCTCCACGCTGCGGGCTCCACCACACGCCTCACCATTTCATTTTTTTTTTTTTTAAGATTGGCACCTGAGCTAACAACTATTGCCAATCTTTTTTTTTCTTGTTCTGCTTTATCTCCCCAAATACCCCCAGTACATAGTTGTATATCTTAGTTGTAGGTCCTTCTAGTTGTGGCATGTTAACCGTTTCATTTTTAAAAGGCTGCCGGGCTCTCCACTGTACACAGGATGAAGCCCAGCCTCCGCTTTCCTTCAGCTCCCCCTCCTGCCCCTTCCGTCTGTGCATGCCTCTTTCTTGGATGTGCAAACTGCTCGTCTCTCCTGTACACACTGTGCTTTCTCGGCTCTCTGCATTTGGCCATGCTGTTCCCTCTGCCGAGAATGTTCTTCCCACCTTCCCTCCCTAACCAGCTCTCCTCCTCCCTCCCCGATGCTGGGCTTCCCTGGGCTCTTGGTGCCCTGAGTCCCCTCGCAGCACTTTCTCCCTGCACTGTCGTTGGCACCCCCTCTGTCCACTCGCGGTGAGCACCTGAGGGCCACCTCCCGGGGCCGGAGGACAGGTGCCGGGTTAGTGCCTGCTGATCGGAGCCGAGCCCACCCAGCTGGCCAAGCCGCGCCCTGCTGTGCGGCAGGTACTGACAGCTCGGTGGACAGCTCCGCGTGGCGGGGCGCCCCGTGCCTCGGAGGATGGTCAGCAGCCTCCCCGGCCTCCGCCCCCGAGATGCCTGAAGCACCCCCTCAGCTGTGACAACCAGCAGCATCTCCAGCATTATCTACGACAGCCAAAACCTGGAAGCAACATGAGTGTCCAGGACGGACAAGCGGATAAAGGAAACGTGTCTCTGTGCAAGGCAGTGTCACTCAGCCACCAACAGAAGGAAGTCCTGCCTCTCGAGACAACATGGCTGGACCCGGAGGGCGTTCAGCTGAGGGAAGGAAGTCAGACAGAGACCCATACTGTATGATCCTGCTCATATGTGGAACCTAAAAAAACCCAAACCCACCCCAAACCGAACTGGTAGATACAGAAAACAGATGAGTGGTCGCCGGAAGCAGGGGGTGGCGCTGGGCAAAGGGGCAAAGGGGGCCAAAACGTACAACGTCCAGCTATAAAACACATAAGTCCTGGGACATCATGTACAGGCTGGTGACGACAGTTAACAACACTGTAGCGTGTATCTGAAAGCTGCTAAGAGAGTGGCTCTCAAGAGTTCTCACCATGAGAAAAAAAATTGTAATTCTGTGTGGTGATGGATGTTAATTAGACTTATGGCGGTGAGGGGGTGTTTCAGGCTGACAGAAGTCAAGACAGAAAGTCACCTCACACACCCTGACCCTCAGGAGAAACAAGACACATGGGTATATTTGCTCCTTTCCTCTTTCTGGAATATTCTTTTGACTTTCTGCACCTGGCTACCCTACTTGTTCTTTGAGTCTAAGCTCAGACACACCTCCTCCAGGAAGCCTTCCCTGATTCTTTCTTGGCCAGAAGTCATAGGAGGAGCAGGCCAAGGAAGGCCTGGAGTGCCTGCGGGCATTGAAGGCCCTGCCGCAGGTCTCATCTCATCCCCAAGCCCCACTGATTCCGCCTTCCTGATCTCTAGTGCCACGTGCTCCTCTGGGGCCCCAGGTCCAGTCTCACTTCAGGCCTCAGCGTCGCCCCACTGGGCTCCCTGCCCTAGTCTCCATCCTCCCAGGTGACCATCCTCCTGCACTCAGGCCTTCGCTGTCCCGCCCCTGCCAGCAGGACCCGGCCCAAAATTCTATCTGCCTTGCAGAGCCCTCTGCCCACCACCCCTGCTTCTCCCGAGCCTGCTCCTCCCACCTGTCCCGCTGCTGCCGCAGAGGACGCCTCCCAAGACGTGCCTCTGTGCCTTGCACATGCTGTTCCTTCTGCCCACAATGCCCCGCCACTTCGTGGCCTGTGGAACATTCTTCCCTCAGGGCCCGCTTGGCAGCCACGCCTTCCGGAAGCTCCCCAGGCCCGGTCACGGCTGAGCCCCTTCTCATTCCGGCACTTTCACTCCCGGCTGTGATGACCGTCCACACACCTGCCAAGACTCCTCCTAGGGACGCCCCCCGAGCAGGGGCTACTGAAGGGACGCCGTGATGCAGACGGAAGGCCATGGAGCCAGAGCAGCCTGGGCTTCACACCCACGCCTGCCTCTGCTGTGTGACCCCAGGCAGGTTACTGCGTCTCTCTGAGCTGCACTTCCATGAAACGGAAATCAAAAACCTCCCTCTGGGGCTGTTTCGGGGAATAAAAACAAGGTATGTAAAGTGCTTGGTACGTAAGCGGTGTTCAACAAACAAGGATTATTATTACTGCTGTTGTCTTATTTCTTCTCTGTAGAGCCTGACACGGAGGGTGTATGCAACGGACGCGTTCTGCCTGAAGAGCAAAAATGGAGACTCTGGGGTGACCGGGAAGGAGGAGCATTTTGTGAACACTGAAGTGGGGGCTGTGCCTGCGCGGACAGACACGGAGAGAGATGACCGAGTGTCGACAGAATTAAACCAGTGGAGGGACCAGTATCCCAGTGGCCTCCCCAGCTGTTCTGAGTGCAGCAAGGTTGACAAGTGACAGGCTCCCTGTGGCCCTCAGCCACCCCTGCCCCCCAGCAGAGCAGCAGCGACAAACCGATGCAGCTGGGGGCACCGGCACACGGGCTGCGAGGGGATGGGCATGTGCTCACGTGCCTCCCGTGGGGCCTGCACAGGCTGCATCCTGGGCCGGGGCCCTCCCGGCTGCAGGTCCCCCAGGTGTCCCCGATCCCAGGAGGAGCTCCCCTGATCCAGATGGCCCCCGGGCACCT